CTTCATAATCAAAGAGAATCAAAATGACATCAGTATGCTGGGAGCAATGCATACAATATGTCCAACCATGGTTGATTGGACCAATACAAGCAGAATGCTCTACCACAGGTTGAACAAAAATAGTCCATCTAAACTTTCAGAATGGGGATGTCTCTAAATTTGTGTCTCACATTTCTTTTGAGCTACTGCAATTCTGCTTTGCTCATAGAGAATAGTTCCTTCTTTTATGCAAACATGCCATGCTGGGCCATCCTGTGCTAGTGTCTCCCATGTCTTGCCATAGATTCCAAAGTTCTTCAGAGAAACTAGGAAAGTGTGTTTGTATCACTTCTCCTGACCTCCTTGTGAACGCTTACTATGTGTGAGTCCTCTGTAAAACTGGTTTTTTTAGGCAAATTTACTGTTTGCATTTGAACAATGTGGCCAGACCATCAGAGTTGTGCTCTCTACAGGAGGGTTTGAATGATGGCAGTTCAGCTCAAGAAAGGACCTCAGTGTCTGGTATCTTGTCTTTCCAGGTGATCTTCAGAATCTTCCTAAGACAATTGAAATGGAAGCAATTGTTTCCTGCCATGGCATTGGTATACTGTCCAGGTTTCACAGAAATACAACAATGAGGTCACCACATTGGTTCTGTAAGTCTTCAGTTTGTTAGGCAGTCTAATACTTCTCTCCCACACTTTCCTTTGGAGCTTCCCAAATACTGAGTTAGCTCTGGCAATGCATGCTTGTGTTAACCTCATCATTAATGTGGACATAACTAGAAAGTATGCTGTCAAAGTAAGTGAACTTATCCACAGTATTCAAAATCTCTCTATTTGCTGTAGTCAGTGGTTCCACATATGGATTGTATGGTGCTGGCTGGTGGAAAACTTCTGTTTTCTTGGGGTTGTCAGGCCAAAATTAGCCCAAGCAATAGATAATCAATCCACACTTGGTTGCATCTCTACCTCAGAAGCTGTATTGAGTGCACAATCATCTGTGAACAAAAAGTCACATACCAACTCTCCCTCCATTTTAGTCTTCACTTATAGCCTTTTCAAAACAATTTACCATCAGTGTAGTAGCTGACCCTGATGCCATTTTCAATGTTGTTGAGGACAACCAATAGCATTGCTAAAAACATCATGTTAAAGACCATGGGAGCCAGCACACAGTCCTGCTTCACCGCCTTGGTGATTGGGGAAACTCAAGAGCAAAATTCATTATCCAGAACCCATGCAAGCATGCCATCATGAAACTGGCATACATTACTGATGACCTTCTCTTGGCAACCAAATTTTGTCATGACCTTCCACAAGCCCTCATGATTGACAGAATCAAAGACCTTTATCAGATCAATGAATGTTGTGTACAGACCTCGGTTTTGCTCTTGACATTTATCCTACAGTCATCAGGCAAATATATATATATTTCTCAATATATTATCTCCACTCCTTTGAGTTCTTCTTGCCCTATAACACTGAAGATTCCAGTTAGCTTTTGTATAAGCAATGGGCCCACTGCCTTGTAAATCTCTGCTGGAACAAAATCGGCACCAGACACTTTGCCGCACAAGGGAGCCTAATGATATTCAAAACCTCTTCTTCAGTGGGAAGTTTGGCTAGAGAGGAATTGACTTCAACCTGAGGTATATGGTCAGTGGCTTCAACATTGATTAATGATGGTCTGTTGAGAACATAAAGTAAGTGTTCAGCCATTTTCTCCAGGATCATGTCCTTATCACTAATCAATGTGGATCCATCAGCACTCGTAGTTGAGAAGCACCATAGGTCTTTGAGCCATAAATAGCCTTCATGGCATCATAAAAGTGCTTTGGATCATTACTATCAGCATTCTTCCTTTTTACTGAGCCCCAAATCCTGAACCTCTCTAAGCTTCACTTGAACTTTACTTTTGATGGACTTAAGCACTGCCTTCTTAGAGATGGATGAACTATCCTGCTGATAAACCATGTGGAGTTCTCATTTTTCATTTAGTAACTTCTGAATTTCCCTGTCATTTTCATCAAAGCAATCCCAATGTTTGTGAGTGTTATGGCCCAGATGAGTAAATGTAGTGCTGTACACCAAACCTGTGAAAGCTTCTCACTCATTTTCTACTCCACTGTTGCCAACCATGTGTTGGTTCAGCTTTCTCTCTGAGTTAGCAACAAACTGTTCACACATGGAGAAGCACACTAATCTGTTGACATTAAGTCTTTTAATAGATATCTTGCCTTTGAATTGATACTTTTGTTGAATGAGAATTTTTAGCTTGGAGAGGATAAGTCTATGATTACACCAGCACTATGCACCACATATTGCCTTCATCACTCTCACATTGTGTCTGTCTCTTCTCTTTACATTGGCAAAGTCTATTAAATGCCACTGTTGCTGTGAGGGTACATCAATGAAGTTTTATTGCATTTAGATAAATGGAAGACAGTATTGGTGATGAGAAAGGCAGGAGACTCCCAAGTTTTCAGTAATAAGTGACTTGCTTTTTCTGTTTTTGACTCCATTCCTCCCAAGGACTCCCTGCCATATTTGATAGTCTATGCCTACTCTAATATTAAAATCGTCCAGAATTACAAGCTTGTCCTCCTTTGGCACACTGATGACGAATGTCTCCATGTCTTCATAATTTTTTTCTTTGATTTCATCAGGGTTTACCATGGTGGGAGCAAACATACTGATGATGGTACTGTGGTACTTTCCTGCAAATGACAATTGCATTGTCATGAGCCTGTCATTCACTCTTTTTGGGAAAGAGGCAGCATACAAGCTTATTGACTATATTAGATTTGATTTCAAAACCTACATTAACTTCATGATGCTCCCAATCACTGCAGCCACTCCAGAAAAACATGTATTCTGCAATGGTGACTTTGGTAAACTGGCCTTCATTTGCTAGTCTTGTTTCATTTGGGGCTTCTATTCAGATATCATACCTGCTGAGTTCTCTCACAACAGGAGCTGTTTGTCTTCCAGGTCTACTAAATTTCATGTTGTCCACAAGTGTGCACATATTCCATGTATCATTGGTGAGTGGAATCATCTTTGCCAAAGTTTTTGCACATTTTATGTGTGTGTGTTTTGACCACAAGGTAAGATCCCTGCCTTCCATGGTAAGCAGGTCAGCATTAGTTTAGGTGAAGCAAACAGTTTTTCTAACCCTTCCTCACACCAAGAAATGAGCAGTGCAGTCCATAAAAAAAGGTTCTTGGATACCTAGGGGGCTGTCAAATCTCACTGTACTTTAGTCCAATGAGAAGATGACCTCATGCCCTGGGCGTCTGTGTGCAGGATTGTGACCATAGCTCCTAGTATATCCATACCTACTTCTTCCTCATTTGTCCATTGTCACAGGACTTCAAGGTAGATTTAAAAAAGTGGTAAAATGGTATGGGTTATGTCTTTTGATTCATGCATAAATTAGATCTAAGTTAGGCAGAGTTGCATGAAGTAGTTGGCCTCAACCTCTCTTCCAGAATCATCAAAGTCCAGTCATAAGACAAAGTCAAGAAGGCTGGTGATGGCTCAGGCTGCAATGGGTGACCTTGGCTTCTTCAATGTCTAATCAAGCTCTAAGGGCTCCACAGTGCCTGCTTCTGCCACCTTCATGGCCCATTGGAACAAATTGTTCACATACACCTATTCTATCAGGGAAATATTTATATCCCTGGGATTAACACCTACCTAATTTACAAATGGGTTTGAGGCCCATTGGTTACTTTTTTTTTTTTTGCTAGACAACCAGGGTTCAGTGACTTGCCCAAGATCACACAGTTAGTTGAGTGTCAAGTGTCTGAGACCGTATTTGAACTCAGGTCCTCCTGACTCCAAGGCCGAAGCTCTATCCACTGCACCACCTAGCTGGCCCTCATTGGTTAATCTTAACCTGATTTATTTTCAGACCATTTGAGTGGTGGAAACTCCCCTGATGAATTTTGTTAAAACTTGCCACAAGGGATTGATGTGGCAGAAACAGCATTTATTTTACAGAATATGAGGTAGTTTTCTTTTAAAAAAAGATAAGGAGGTTGTTCTCAGAACTTGGTTGGTTCAGAGTATCAGGGATATAAAAAGCCCAAGCTAGGCAGAATTGGCACTCCAGAAATTTAGTGGCATTCCCATTTTGCTGAGGTATGCTTTTTGAACCTGCCATTACTGTTGTTGTGGTGAATGTGGAGGAAGAGTGGAATGGTGTTTTACCTGAATTAGCAACTAGGAATTGTATCCTATTAAATCTTATTATACATAATTTTTCTAATTGAATTTGTGTTTGATTGTGTTATCCAAATCCAAATCATTAAACTGGCCTGAATCAAGTCAGAATAATAGAAAACTACATTGTACTGAAGTCACTAAATAAGAAGATACCTATGTAGGTATATATGTGTGTATATACACAAATACATATGTATATATACATGTACATATATGTACATACATATTAGTTAAATGAAATGACATCTAAATTCATAAGAAAACTGACCAACATGCAAAAAGACATGGTAGCACAATAACAACTGGACATTTTAATGTTTTTCTTTCATAAGAGGAAAATTTTAACAAAATCAACAATAGCTAACACTTATATACTATTTTAAAGTTTGCAAAATACATTACATATCTCACCTCACTTGATCAAAGAATATGAAAAAAGAAACCATAGTGCAGAATAGACTTTGAAAAATAAGATTTGAAAGACATGGCATTATTTGAATAGAAATATTAAATAGTTGTTTGTTTGTTTTGGCAAACCACAATGCTTCTTCAAAAATCAATCATATTTTGGGATAAAAGAAAATATAAACATAAAAGGGAAGAAAATATTAAGTTGATGCTTTATAGATAAAAAAGAATCTTTTTTTAAAATTGTCCCAAGTAATTCACACACTGCTGTGAGGAGGAAAGACATAGGTCATAGAATGAATCTCTAGAGGATCTCTGTGATTTATTTAGGTTTTGCCTAATTTTTCAGGCATAAGTTTTATTAAAAAAATACTTATTTTGTCAGAAAAAAATCTTTCTGACCATATCCTTAAAGGCTTTTTTCACTTGCTGGTTCCTTAGGGTATAAATGAAAGGGTTCAGCATGGGAGCCACAGAGGTATTCAGCACTGCTACCCCTTTGGTCATAGGCACCCCTTCCTTTGCCAAGGGTTTGACATACATGAAGATGCAGCTTCCATAAGAGATGGAGACAACAATCATGTGGGAAGAACAAGTGGAAAAGGCCTTTTTTCTTTGCTGGGAGGAGGGAATTCTCAGAATGGTTCTAAGGATGTATGCATAAGAGAGAATCACTAATGCCAAAGTCAACATGAGTGTAAATACAGCCAAGAAAAAACTCAGGACCTCTAAGATCTTGGTGTCTGTGCAAGAGATCATCAGCATTGGAGAAGAATCACAGGTGAAGTGATCAATGACATTGGAATCACAGAAATCCAGCTGGAGGCCCATGATAACTGGTGGAAAGATTATGAGAAAACCTGCCAGCCAAGAGCTGATTATAAGCTGCCAACATACTTTGGGGCTCATTATGGTTGTGTAGTGTAGGGGTTTGCAGATGGCCACATAGCGGTCATAGGACATGGCTGCTAGCAGAAAAAATTCTGTTGCACCAAGGAGGATAAAAAAGAATACTTGGGCCATACAAGAATTATAAGAAATTGTTTTTACTTTAGTTACTATACTGACCAGAAATCTAGGAATGCAAAGAGTTGTAAATGAGATTTCTAAGAAGGAGAAGTTCCTGAGGAAGAAATACATGGGAGTCTTGAGGCGAGAGTCCAACATGGTGAGGGTAATGATGGTCAGGTTGCCAGTTGCACTCAGTATGTAGGTGAGAAACAGAAAGAGGAATATCAAGGTCTGTAGCTCTGGGTCATCTGTCAGTCCCAGAAGGATGAATTCTATCACTGATGTCTGATTTTTCATGTCTGATGCTTGACTTCTGCCTGATACACAGGTGAAAACAAGAGAAAAATAACTTAGAGACTAAGTCAAGACTTCTATTGTATAGAGAATCACACAAGGAAAAGTGAAAGGAAATTATCAGCAAGAGATGACTAAAGTATAGACTATGAAATCCAGAAAATGATTAAAATGTGTCCTTCTATCTATCTGGCTTCATTAAGTCCCAACTTAAGTCCCACCTTCTACAGAAAGCCTCTTGAAGCCATTGCCTTCTCTCTTTTAATTTTTCTGTGTATATATATATACAGAATATATATAGAGAGAGCTTGTTTGTATATTTTTGTTTGCATGCTGTCTCCTCATTAGATTGTAAGCTCCTTAAGGACAGGGACTGTCTTTTGCTTCTTTTTGTATCCTCATTTCTTAACATGGTTCCTGGCACATAGTAAGTGCTTAATAAATGTTATTTGATTGTACTGCAAGTTGATTCCACATTCAGATAGATTCCTAACTAGCTTTATTGAATCCTCCATGAATTAAAAAAAAAATAAAAAAGTGTGGTTGTACTCTGTGATTATTTCCAAATTATACTGCATACAACATTTTAATACAAGATTGTTTACATATCCTCCATCCCTGTCCCCCTCTCCCTTATACTGTGAGCTCCTTAAAAGCAGGGGCTGTCTTTTGCCCTTTTTTGTGTGTGTCTCCAGACCTTAACATCACATAATAGGCTCTGACTCACAGATTTCTAAAAGGATTTTGGACATTCTTCTTCTATTACTGCAATCAAATATCAGGTTAGCATTTTAGGTTGCTGTATTACACTATTAGTATGTTACTGTCTCCTACAACCCTCAGGTTTTTTCACATTCATTTCTTTCCAGTCAAGTCTCCCCATATGCTATTTCTTTGTATTTCCATGTGTGCGTCTGTGTGTGTATGTTTTAATATCAGTGAAATCACAACTCTCACACATACAACTCCACTGCATCTAATGTTGTTAATGGACTTCATGAAATTTTGTTTATTTCTACTAAGTTTCATCTTTTTATGACAACCAAGGCACACAACTGAGACCTTTTTTAATCTCAATTTTTTCTTGTCTATCCCACCCATGTTTAGGTCCTTTTCAAAAGTTACAAGTATATATTTTTCTTATTTCCCTAATTAATTGATACAAATGTTGCAGTAAAGAGACCAAGAATATAATCTTATGTCATGTAGTAGACTACTCTTCAAAATGAAATCAATCTGTTAATCCACATTCTTTGACTCAAGTTGATCAACTAGCTCTGTATCCAACTGACTGATCCCAGACAGGTCTTTCTGTCTTGTTCTCAAGGATGTTGTGAGTAAATAAGTTAAATGTTTTGCTAAAATTCATGTGCAATAGGGCTATTGCTTTCCCTTGTGCTACTAGTCCAGCAACCTTGTCAGGAATGAGGTGAAGTTAGTCTGATATGACTTATTCTATAATAAAATGATATAATACAGTGATCACCACTTCCTTTTCTAGTTGCTAGGAAGATCACCTGTTCATTTATTCAGCAAAAATTTTTAGATACTTACTATGTTCGTGTTACTGTACTAGGTGCTTGAAATGAACACACAAAAATCTTCTGCCCTCAAGGAATTTACATTCTCTTCTAGTATTTTCCCATGATTAATGTTAAGTTTACGAGGTTATCTTTTGAAGGGTACACATTTTCAAAATTGTGACAATATATGATTTTGTATTCCTGTCCCTTTCTGAAAATTCTCAAGGATTCTGGAAAGAGCTAGAATCTTTGTAGAACTGTGGCTCAACAATCATATTCACAAGTTTTATCAGTGAGATAAAAAGAGTTACATTGAATTGACATTGTAAAGATTATTAAATGTTAGGAGTTTGTATTTGATCCTAGAAATAATATGGAGACAATTGAGTCTGTTCATCAGGGGAATGGCAGGGTCAGACCCTGCACTTAAGTAAAATCACTTTGGTGGTTTGAGAAGGATGGTTTGAGGAAAGGAAGTAGATCTGATGAAGGGAATTAATTTGGATGCTATTGCAATAGCAAATGCAAGATACGATGAGGGCCCAAACAAGGCTGGTGGCCATCTTAGTGTAGGTGGTAAGACAAATGTGAGAGATGGTATGCTCCTCGTTGGAAGCCTCTCAACAGTTGTTCCAGTGATAGGCTCCACTGATTATGGAAATTATTAACATCAAGTAAAATTATGTAACATTAAGATGGGAGTATTTATTTATAATATTTAGTAATTATCTTAACAATATATTAAAGATCAAGTTTATCTGAATTACATGTATATTCTATTGAATATATCAACCATACTTTCACACCAAATACTATGAAATTGTGTAGAGAATGGCTAAATGTTAAAGGGAATATGAAAAGATTTTAAAATTAAAGACTAAGCTGAAATCATAAGTAACTTGGGACAGCGGAGACATTGCCCTAGATGTTATTCTTTGTCCTTCCTTCTAGGACTTTTGATTTTGAGACAGTAGATTTGTCATCCATAATGAAATATATTGAGGAGAAAATGTCCAGAAAGAAACCCTCTAACCTAATGGGAAACAGAAAGACAAAGTGTAACTAAGAAGAGAAATAGAGAACATACTCACTTTTCTGATTAGTTTTGATGGATTCAGCTGTAAATTAAAACCCAAAGATCATGAATATTTACTTAAATTGAGAGGAAATATTTGGGTTCGACTAGGGTAGAGTTTCATGTTCAGGCATCTCTTTTTATTGCCTCATCTCTCACCCAAATGTATACACACATATACATAAAGTTTAGAATGCAAAGGACTTCCCCAGTTATCCCTGTTTTAAACAATTAATTGAGCATTTTTGAACCCTTCCTCTCAACTCTCTATCAAATGCTGGATATTGGAGATTGGAAATCTAATCTATATAACCATGAAAACATTTTCATGAATTCTAAAAAGGTTATAGAAAATACTGTCACAAATGCAATATTATCATTGAAATTTCTCTGGTACATAATTTCCTTAACAGTCTTTACAGAGCCATAGCTTCTTCCCAACAGGACTAGACACAATTTATCTGTTTTTATCAATCTCATCTCACAGGGAGTTATTAAGAAAACGAAAGGATGAAAAATCCTTAGGGACAGATAAGAAGATGATACTAATAATTTTACATAATATTCTAGTTTGAGAACAAACTTTAATTGAGTGTCTATGGGAGCTATATTCCTGAAGGTTACTTATGGGAGATGAAACAAGAGCATGAGACACTGTTCACTTATAAATATCAAAGAGCATCTTTGATAAATCAATGCCAGCTGGCTTCTTTGGGCTATTAAGTTGCCTATATGAACCTTGGTTAAACTTGGGGAAAGGAAAGGGTCATCTGGGTCATCTCCTTCAGATCAAAAATCCAAGGTACTTCATCCACTCATCAGTTGATCTAGTTATCTAAGAATATTTATTGGTTATTTACATTATGGATAGTGATATGACAGTTGTCAAGTAAAATAAAACCAAATAAAATTCAATTGAATAAACATTTGTTAACCAACTATTATCTGAAAGTTGTTATTCTAGGAACTAGAGAAACAAAGACAAAAATGAAATAATCTCTGATTTAAATGGGCATATATTCCACTGGGGCAAGGGAATACATACACAATATGTATACCTGAAAGGAAATATAAAGTAAATTTAGGAGGGAATGGACATTAACAACTGGGATTCTCCACAAATGCCACCAGTAGACAATAATACCTGAGTTGAGTGTTGAAGGAACTTACTAATTAGAAAATGCTGAAATAAAGAAGGAATATTAGGAACAGGAAGGTATAGTTGGTGCAAAGGCCCATAGATGGGAGAAATCATGTTAAATTCAGGAAACTGGTAGAATGGGTTCTCCTAGTTTTAGTGAGCACTGCTCCAGTCTTGGGTTTACTGGATCCAGTAAAAGGTTCTTTAACGTTCCTGTTTGGACAGTAAAATCTAAGTGACTGAAACATCTGTGCTTTTAGTATCTGGGGTAACACATGGCCTTTGTGGTACAACAGATTATAGAAAATCTCTACCATGCTTCAAAAACCACCTGGAACAAATTGACTAAACGATTCCATTTCACATGGAAGCTGACACCTAGCAAAAAATAAGTAGGCTTTGACATCTGGCCTTAGCCTCTATTGGACTGTATTACTTTTTGTGTTCAAATAACTATTGACTAATTATGTGCAATTAAAAATGTTGAGGTGTTATAGAAGGAAAAAACTCTCTTGGTTCCACTTCCTTGATGGGCAACTAGGATTTCTACTCTTAGGCCAGTCATTCATTGAGTCCTTAAATCAGCTCCTGATACTGCCAGTTTGGCAGCAGATTATAGGAAATCAACACCAACAATTCTGTCAATCAGACAAAGCAGAAAACTAACCAGACAAACCATCACTAGTAAGAGCACTCCTCCCTCTCCAACACTCCTATGGGGAACTAGGAGAGGTTCTCTAAGAAATCACTCAACCAACAATCTAACTTGTTCCAACTCTTCCATCTAGCTTGGCTATTGACACTATAGACTTTGAATTATTATTCAATGCAGTTCTACTTTGGAATTAAAGCAGGACCTCTCAAGTCCTCTTTAGGCAAACTCTATCTTCCATTCTTCTCTGCACAAGTTTTATTGGGTATTCCTCTAGGATTCCCACCCCCTCTTACCCCTACAAGTGATATACAGGCAAGAAGATGAGCAGGCTAGATGGGAGGTTCACCTCTATTTTTTTTAATAGCAATTCTGGTCAGATTGAAGGTTCTTTTTTCTGTGATTTATGTTTTTGTGTTTATCAAACACTGGGTCATTCAATTATTTCTGATTCTTATTTGTCTAGCCTATTCTATTGATTTATATATATTTTAAACTATACAAATGGTTTTGAAAATTGTTGGTATACAATATAGTTTCAGGTTTAGACATAATGGTTACCTTTTCATTCCTCTTTTTAAAATTTTTCCTTGAAATTTTGGATATTTTATTCTCCCAAAAATATTTTTTTTATTGTTTTTTCTGCTTCTGCATGGTATCCCTCTGGTATAGCATTGGTATAGCATTAAGTATGGAATATTGGTATAGCATTAAATATGTAAATCCATTTTCTAGAACTATAATTTTTATTAAATTGGAATGATAAAGCTATGAATGGTGAATATCTCTCCAAATGCTTAAGTTGTTATTTATTCTTTTAAGAAATATTCTTTAACTGTATCTGTATAGGTATTGAATGTACTGGAAAGATTGATTTCCTAAGAATACTTGAATTTCAATATTTATCCTTTTTTTTTTTTTGGTGAGGCACTCGGGGTTAAGTGACTTGCCCAAGGTCACACAGCTAGTACGTGTCAAATGTTTGGTCTGAGGCCGGATTTGAACTCAGGTCTTCCTGACTTCAGGGCCAGTGCTCTATCCGCTATGCCACCTAGCTGCCCCCAATAGTTATCTTTAATGGGATTTCTCTTTCTATTTTTCCCTCTTGAATTTTATTATTCCTACATAGAAATGCTATTGAATGATGTGGGGTTATTTTGTAAACTGCTGTTTTCTTATTTAAATTAAATTTAATTAATATCATTAATAAACATTTATTTTCTCTCCCTCCCACTTCCCTGTCCCACTTAAAAATAAAAGAAAATTAAAACTCTTGTAACAAATATATAGTCATGCAAACCATAATCTCACATTAACCATATCAATATACACATACATACATACATATATATATACACATACATATATATATATAATTCTACATATTTAGACCACTACTCCTTTTTCAGGCGGTGAGTTATCATTTTTAAAATTCAATTTTATTTTCAGCTCAAAATTCTTTCCCCCCCCACACTCCTCCAAATGAGAAAGTAAGAAAAATAAAATCTGTTACAAACATGTATATATTCAAGCAAACCAAATTCCTGCATTAGTCACATCATACATATGTAAACATATATGTGGTATGCACACATATACAAATACATATATATATATCACACATATAAACAATATTGTAAGAGTAAGGTACTCTGATACATGTGTATTTGTGTACATATTTATACACATATATACATATGTGCACACTTACATGTATCTATATATTACAAACTCCAAATTGGTAGGTTATTTAAACATGAGACATCATAAACAAATTAGAAGAGTGTGGAAGAAATTACCTGTTAAATCTCTATTGAATGAAATGCATTTCTGTACCTGACTGTATGTATATATGTATGCTTTCCACCTCTGATCAGTTCAGATGACAGTGAGGTTCAAGTTTCACCCATTCCCCTCCCCATCTTTTCCCCTTGTTGTATAGATTTTTCTTTGTACAACACAATTATGTTAGGTAATTTCCCTTGTTCTTTGTCTTCCTTTCTCTCTTCCTGGTGATTGTTCTTCCTCTCCCTTTTCATTCTTTTAAGATCATCAAAACATAACAGAATCATTTCCAGGCCCTCTAGTTAGACTTTCTTTATGATCTCTGATGATGATAGAGTTCTGAGGGGATATGTCTCTACTCTCAACATTTAAGAATATAAACAGTTTAACCTTCTTTAGCACATTTTAATTGACTGCTCTTGTTTATATTTTTGGGCTTCTCTTGACCCTTGTGTTTGTATGTGATTTTTTTTTTACTTAGCTCTGTTTTTTTTTTCATTAAAGAATGTCTTTTTCATCAAGGAGTGTTTTGGTTCATTATAGGTCTATTTTCCCCCATGGGATTATACTAAGTTTTGCTGAGTAAATTATGTGGTTGTAGCCTAAATACTTTGCCAAGATCTCTGTTCTAGATCTGCTTATTTTATTCTGCATTAGTTCAAAATGAAGTACAACTGATACCAGCACTCATACCCCTTGTTCAATTTTTCAGGGTAAGAGAGGGAATGGAGAATTTGGCGACAGAATCTCTGCAGCCCTGAGTGTCTAGGGTTGGGCCCCAGTATATTTGTACTCTATATTACCCTTCCCCAACCCAATTCTTTCTCGTGTAGTTGGGCAGGCTGATTGTTGTAGGGTTGGGGAACTGTGAAGTATGTCTTATAAAAGTCTCTCTGCACCTCTGCCCATGGGATCACAGAGGTTGTGGCAAAAGTGTTGAATATTTAGGTTTTAGAGTTCTCAGTGTTAATACAAATGAATTTTGCTTTGTCCAGATTTTTGTCTTCTTTGTCCGTGGTTTTCAGTTGTGCTTGCTCAATATCTGGTACATTGTTCTTATTTTTTTTTCTTTTTCTGAGTGTTAAAGAGTGAATGCTAGACTAGAAGAAGTCACTAATTGACTACCTTAATATATAAACTTCAGACTTTCTATTCAAATTACCTGCTAAAATAATTTCATTCTATGAAGAGGGTTAAACCAAGGAAATGTACTCACAGAGGGCTGGGGATTCTTTATGATGGTGAGGTCCAACAAAGTTGGCAATAAATATTTTTGCACAAAGCTGGGAGTACTGATGGTCAGATGAACAAGAACTGAAGCCAGGTAGTTAAAATGGGATCACTGGATAAGTTCTTGGTCAGGTAAAATGGTGGTGGAATTTGAGAAACAACAGGGACAAATAAAAGGTAACTCTTATGACCAGAGAATGAACCCAGTTCTTTCCAGTTAAGAATAAAACTATGTTCTACCTTCTTTCTGGTAAGTTTACTTCTTACTAGAGTCAACAACCTGAGAAGGGAAGCTTAAATGTGGGAAATGTGGTGGAGTAGATGGAAAGAGAACAGATATGTCCTTGATAATTTATCATTAGAATCTATGAAACCAAGAATTGGGCCAGACCAAAGATAGACCAAAATGGTAAAGAAGAGCAGAATTTTGCCTAGAATGGAGGTTTGCTGCTGAGTAACACTTTTGAATTATCTGACTCATTTCTCTCAGGGAGCTTCAAATTGGTTGCAGTGGTCTCTCCTAGCCATAAAGATTTCCAGCTCATCTAGTAGGAGGTAAGGTTGCAGTTCTATATCTCCTGAGATAATAATTGCATGATCTTTGGCACAGTAGTCTTACAATCTGTCTAAAGAGTAATGCTACACATTTAGGGAGGAGAGGTACACCATTGGAATCTAAATGGGCAGAAATTTTCCTGAGTTCTTCAAATCATTCCTATACTTTTTAAACATCAGGTATGTGTTCTTCCACTGTTGCCAGCACCCTTAAATTCCATCCATTCATCCTAGGTAATTAAGCTCCTCCACATCTAGGACAGTATTCTTAAAATATGATTTTTTTCCCTTTCTTTCTTCCTTTCCTGAAAAAAGACAGCTAATTTTTCTAGTTACTTAGATAGGCACAAAGGAAGAAGTCTGAAAATTCATTTGTGTAGATCTCTAATAATATAACACATATTTCTATTGAAGCACCAAGTTAACAAAAGAATAACATGGAAGGGAGAACTCTTAGAGATGTCACAACATTTCACAATCACTCCATACTGTTCATTCTCTATATTAACCTTTTATATAACATTAAGTTTTGTAACTATATGGAAACAGGGGCTTGAATGCTAGGGATATTTACGCTATGGATACAAGTTGAAGAGCAAAGGGTTTCATTATGTTAATTGGGCAATTCTTTATAGGTGATATGAAACTGGAGAAAACTGAGTACCAAGTTATGCTTAATGACCATAAAACAGGTTACTCCTGATAGAGAATGTACTATTTAAGAGGTATTTGGTAAATATTTATCATGTACTGGGTGCTATGGAGGTTTCACAGAAGAAAACATATTCTTCACTTCCAGTGTATAAAGCTAGTAGAACTTCCAAAAACAGTAAGCCGAAGGGTAAGAGTCTCAAAGATCCTTAAATGATATGACTTTACTTATTTAAAATGAAAGAGTGAGAAAAGAAGGAAAGTACTTGGAATATATAGGCTTTTAGAGGATATTGGGAGCTACTGCTTTAAAAAAATTTTTTATTGAGTCTTCATGATTCAGCAATTACAAAAGCAATTGAATAAACACTTATTAAATGTCTAATCTGCCCAAAATACTGTAGTAGGCACTGAGAGGAGGGGAGAATACATAGATTTTATATCAGGCGTGGTCCCTCTTTCATGGAGCTTATAATTATGTAGGAAAATATGATCAAAAACATACAAAATCTAAAACTATATAATATTTAATAATATGAGGGAGATAATAATGCTTTGTTAGGTCTTGAAAGGAAAAGGTCATTAATGATTAGGTGATGAGGCAAGGCTTCAGGTGGGTTATGTATGCCAATTATGCTTTAAAAAAATGAGGAACTACTCAAGGGTGAGATGGGTAGGGGGAGGAAAAGGAGAAACAAATATCCCAACCATGCTAGGTGTTTGAAGTACAGTTGAAAAAATGTGTAGACTAGTAAGAGATTAGCCTGGAAAAGTCAGGAGGTAGCAGCTTAGTGGAAGGCATTAAATGTGAAGCCAATATGTATGAGCTTATTCAGTAGGCAACTAGAAACCAACTAGAGTGATTTTGAGCAGAAGAGTGACATCATTATAACTATGCACATAGAAGATTGATCCAGTTCCATACAAAGTCACTATGTGAAACAGTTTCATTTGATTGAGAAAAACATTTTTCTGGTTACAGACTTGAAGGCTTGTTTTGCTTGCTTATTCCTTGGAGTATAGATGATAGGATTTAGAAGGGGGGCTACGGAAGTGGTGAGGATTCCTACCCCTTTGTTAAAGGCTACTCTTTCCTTTGCTGAGGGCTTAATATACATGAAGATACAACTGCCATAAGAGATGGAAACAACAATAATGTGAGAGGAACGTGTCGAAAAAGCCTTCTTCTTTTGCTCTCTGGAGGGGATTCTCAAAATTGTCCTGAAGATGTTTGCATAGGAGAGGAGTACTAGAGCCAAAGTGACTAGGAGTGTCAGTAATGCTAAGAAAAAGCTCCACAGCTCAATGACCTCAGTGTCAGTGCAGGAGAGCTGAAGAACTGGAGAATAGTCACAGATGAAGTGATCGATGACATTGGCATCACAGAAATCCAATTGGAGACCCATGATAAGTCCTGGGGAGATTGTTAGTAAGCCAGCCAACCAACAACAAAATATAAGCTTGGTGCACACTTGGCTATTCATGATGCTCGCATAATGCAGGGGCTTGCAGATGGCCACATAACGATCATAAGATATGACAGCTAAAAGGTAAAACTCTGATGACACCAAGAGTATGATAAAAAACAACTGAATCATACAAGCATTATAGGAAATACTTTTGTCCATGGTCACAGTGCTGACCAGGAATCTGGGAATACAAGCAGTTGTCAAGGATATTTCTAAAAAGGAGAAATTGTGAAGGAAACAGTACATGGGTGTTTTGAGGTGGGCATCCAGAAGGGTAAGAAGGATGAAGCTGAAGTTTCCTCCAATGCTTAATGTATATGTTAGGAAGAGAAAGAGAAAAATCACAACCCATAAGTCTGGATCATCTGTCAGGCCCAGAAGAATGAATGTTGTCACTGTTGTATGGTTTCTCATAGCTACCTTGTGACTTCTGCTACAACTGGACCAATGAATAAAACAGAAATTAGCCTAAGAATCAAAGGAGTGAACAGGATTCCTGCAAGAGTGGTAGTGGTGAAGAATCCATTTAGTTAAATCAACTGTTCCTAACTTCTAACCCTAACATAGAATTAAAAAACAAACAAGCACCTCTTTTATTATTTTAAATTGGCACACCTCTTTTGTTATCTTAAATTGGCTTCTATAACACACACACACACACACACACACACACACATATATAAAAAATCAAATATAAAGCTTTTCTCTCTCTCTCCTCTCCTGTCCCTCTGACCCCTTCCTTCTTCATTCCTCCTCCTCCTCCTATTCCTCTTCCCTTTCTTCTTCTTCTTCCCTTTCTTCTTCTTCTTCTTCTTCTTCTTCTTCTTCTTCTTCTTCTTCTT